TCTTGCCTAGTTTAAAGCCCTCCTTACCAGGCTGGCCAATCTGTTGGCAAAGACACGCGTGCCCCGCTTGGTAAGGTGGATCCCATCTCTCCCCATCAGCTGTTGATCTTCAGACAGGGCCCCATGGTCATAGAAACCAAAGCCCTGTTGCCAACACTAGCGGCGCAGCCAGTTGTTACCTTGGAAAACTTGTCTACTCCTCCTCCTGTCCTTTCCCCTCACAGGCAAGATTGAGGAGAAAATGTATGTTCTGGGGGTAGAATTCATTGCCAAGAAAAGAAAAGACTGAGAAGTCTTGGAGGAGCTGAAGCCACCATATGCAACGCTGGTGAGGGAATTTGGCCCCAAAAAAAGTCTGAAAGACTGACTGAAACCTAATGTTATATGCAAATCTCGTGTGAGGACTGGCTGATGACTTCCCTGAAATCTTTGGGAGTGGCGCTGCTAAGAAAAACCTTTATGTGTGAATTGCAGTTCTCAGAGATTTTAACAAGAAATCATGACCTGGATGCTTGGTCTACAGGATTAGGTCTCCACAACTGAGTGATAGGAGAATTGGTAGCAAATTGAATCTGAAGGACATAGTGAAGAGATCATTGCATTTTTGCAGATTAGGGGTGGCTGGTGCAGAGAAAGTTTGATGTCTTCCTATAAGCTGCTTACGGGTAGCACCTGATAGTCATGCCTGACTTTGAGTCTTTTTTTCAGTTCTAGACTTGAGCCATATCAGTACAGTGCACAGATCTCTGCAGTACCACCGGCAAGTGGCTGCAGAACCACATACATCTGTGTTGCATGCAAGCCAATAAGCCCTGCTAAAGGGGCTTTGGATTCTGGTTTTCTTTGTGGTACTACTCTGTGCCACAGAGCTGTCCCAGGTTGTGAACTTGCATCCTGCATCCTTGCATCCTTGCGTTTTGGCCCTGAGTGCTCATGTGTTTTTCTTCTCAGTGTTTTATGGCACTTGGAGATGTGAGAGCTAGTGACTGTTATCCACATGCTCCAGCATAACCCTAGGAGGATAGATTGACATTGCACTGTCTTTGACTTCAAATTTTTGGAATAAAGAGGAAATAAAAATGCAGCTGAAAATAGCGCTTGTATGACTTTCTCTGTCTTCCTGAAGATAGAAGAAAAACACCATTTGATCTAGTCACCTTTCAAAGGCTGTACCTACAAGCAGCTTAGAAAATTCTCAATAAACAGCAGGAGAGGGGCAATTATTTCTGTTAGTTTTTTTTAATGTTTTGCTTATCTCTGATGGTGTAAGCAACTATGTAGACTGGCGTTCAAATGGCTTATAATAAATGAAATGATTTTCAATAAAACTGAGTTGCTCTAAAAACAGAAAAAAAGGGTAGTTTTACAAGTTATTTTCATGTCTAGAAATATTCAAAAGTACATTTTTCTTCTGTTCACCCAGAGTGCCCTATTAGTAAGCGTATATCAAGAAAGGGTTTGATCTTAGAGCTAAGCATCAGAGGCCAAATAGTTAGGAAAATGCAATAGGTATGCTGACTTCAGTATTTTCCCTAACTTTAAATGGATATGAACATGCCGTTTTGCAAGCTGCTTGTGGTTTTTATTGTGATTTTAAAGCATCTGTTCAATGACTTAGTTTCTTCTCTTTGTGAAGCTGAGAAGAGGATCCTGTGAGGAGCAGTCATCTTTGAATGACTCATCTGGGACCAATATCATTACTGAGGTGGATGAATGCCTAAGTGAAAGGAAGCTGGATCCAGATCTTCCAGGATACTGTAGGTGACGAATGCCCACAGAAAACAGCCAAATCGTTAATGCAGCTATATGTCAGAGTTTCAAATTACATATGAAAAACCACCTCTAATTTTTTTCCTCAAATAACATATGATAGTTTTGTATCTTTTGAGAAGGCTGCCCTCCCCTCCTGTGATCTTCATAAATAACTTCATCTGAAATGTTAGTGCTTTAATTGTAGTGGATTTGATGTCAGTACTGAAAGAAAAGACCTTTGAAAGCTGAAGAATGTTTTTATTGCTGGGAAAATCTGAAGATTTTGGAGCTGAAATCCTTCCAGTTTTTTTAGATTATCTAACATGACAAGGCTTAACCTGGTAGGTCTTTAAGTCTTATTGCAATGCGCAATATTACAAAGTGTCTCGTGAGTTATCCTGCGCAGTATGGAGACTTAACACAGGAGGATTGTTTATGTTTTAGTGTTTGGGATCTGAACCACAAATAAGCCCCATAACATTAGGAAGTGTACAGCTGAGGAACAGTACTCAATCTTTGCCCTCTGGTTTTGTCGCCTTTATCTCTTTTTTTAAATTTCTCTCTGGTGACGGATGCTACCAAGACACAGAAATAGTTTCTAGCTTGGATAAACCAACTGGGCCAAGTTCATTCCCAGCTGGAGGCCACAGAAGACTGTGGAGTTACATCAGAGATGATGGTGATGTGCGAGACTGTTTTTGTAAACATCCCCTCCTCACCAGGGTAACTAACTCCTCAAGGGCTCTTGTGCAAGCGGGAATTTCTTCTGACACTGCACTTCTCTCTTCAGCCTTGTGCGTGAGTGCTGTGCTGTTTGAAGGTATGCTGCCATCTCGTCTGTGAGGGGATCAGAACTTGACGGAATAAGATGGATCCCAAGAGGGAGACACCCAAGAAAAGCAGCACAGAGCATTTAATTGGTAAGCTTTTTTTTTTTTTTGGCTCTTTTGTTTGTTTTTTTCTTGATGATTGTAAAGATCAAAGTCAACCAAACAAAAGAAGTATTTTTGAACCCAGGGTTTCATGGTAGGTCTCTCTTATAGCTTGGAGATGAAAATCCAAAACCTGCACTGTCAGTGATGCAGCAAATTATCTCATACTGCCCTGCCAGCATGCTTCAGCATTTACCTTCTGGCAAAATGACCGCCAGGGATTAGAATGGCTAATTCAGCCATTGAGCCATAGATACGTAGGCATGGGTGGAAGGGGAAAAGCAGGAGTGAAGGATGATAGACGAATTTTTCAGGCCCCGAAAAATACACTTCATACGTTTGGACTTGCATGATGAATACATGGTGCTCCCTTCAAGCAAACTAACTGATCCCAAATGAAAAGTTTTATTGGCAGCATGTGCTGTTGTCACCAATGTGTCTGGCCATAAGAATGGAGTGGGGCAAGCACGAATCTCTGCAGGACTGATCTGGGTGCTTGTAGAAAGCACAGCATAGACAGCGGTTACAAAAGGCTGAGGCTATTCCATTTCTGTTACTGTTGGGGAGACAGGACATTTCTACATGCAGTTCTTTATAATCTTCATAGGACAACTTGGACACAAGTTTTTCATTTGCTCTTAGAGCTTGGCACCCATATTATGATTTTGTTGATTGATTGTATCAAGAAATACCAAAATGAATCTTACAAGTGTCCTGGAACTTTTCTGCAATTGCCTATTGATGAGCTCTCATATTTTGTAGTATATTGCAGCTCTTGGCTTGCTATGGGCTGTAGACGCAAGTGATGTTTCCAGTGGTTGTGACTATCATAATTCATATGCAGGTTTGGTAAAGCAGGTCAGTGATATGCTGGATCCTGACTGATCCTTATTCTTCGCTATTGTATTTTTCTAGACTTTTCCACTTGTCTTATGGAAAATGGTGTGAAACTTTGGGGTTAATCAGAGAACATTTGGGGTGGTCTTTGGAGGTCTAGGCCTGACTTCACTATTTACAGGGTGTGTTTTCATATCCTGCTTCTCTCATTGGAATCGAGATTTTTTTCAGTGCTTCCATTAGAATCTCTAGGACAGTTCTTATAGAGAGTTCTTTGTCAAGTTTTGGATTTGTGCTTCTTTCCAATAGCAGTGTCATTCTTATCAGGGATCTTCACAGCACTCTCAGGTGGATGCTGGTACATTATGCTAGAATCCAAACCTACTGTGGGTGATCTAGGTGGTTTCTTCATGACCAAGTCTGGCACTGTAGAAAAAGATCTTCGAACACTTTTCTGTATGCTAATTGTTGAGGTGAAATAGCACAGAACACTATTCTGATGAACAAAGCACCCCTTCACGATTACTATTTCTCCAAGCTTTGGATTAACAGCTAGGAATGGTGCCCGTTCCATGAATTCCCTTGATCTCTTTCCACTGATTAAGAAACATTCGACTGCTTGGACCTGCTGTACTTCAGGTACCTGCTGCAGTCTGACTGCTTGGACCTGCTGTACTTCAGGTACCTGCTGCAGCCTAACATGCCACAAGTGAAGATCAGGGTGGCAAACAAACAGTCGTGAAAATGTTATATTTGCACACTGAATCTTAAATCTTATCTTCAAATACATGGCCTTAAGGTTTGCATGCTAATTTATTGAAGTGAACTGCTCAAATCATTCCTGCGAGCGATTGCAGAAGGGCTGATGATACCTCATTAGAGAACCACAGATTTCAAATCACTGTCTGTTGGAAAGAGTCAGAATGAAAGCCACACTCCTAGTGCAGCAATTACGCACCCAGCTGTCATGGAAAACATTCCAAGGAAGGCCTGAAACTTGGTGCTATTGGACAGAAACTTATATACACAAGAGTGATTAGATGTGTAGTGGGGACCTCAGAGGTACGAAGGGAAAAACTACAAGGAGCAAAGGGCTCTGTTGTAGCACCCTTGTTTGTAGCTAACACGACTTCATTACCAGAGCTCACAGTGCAGCTAGGCACAAAGTTAACTGAGAGGAAAGGGTTGGAGAAGGAGTGTTTGGTGTCTCATCTTCCAAGATTGCTGGAGCATTCTGACAAACCAGTTGGTCCAGCTCTTCCAGTATGCTCTAGGGGACTCTCACCTTAGCCTATGCCTTGCAGACAGATATCCTCATGCTGTTTCACAGGATGACAAGTGTTTCTCAAAAACTATAAAATGAAGTGTTTTGTACTTTTTATTTGTCATTTTCAATCTATATATGAATTTTCTGTAACATTGGAAATTCTTATGTTTCTGAAGTAATGTATACAAACCCCCAAGCATTTCTGCGTCAACATGGGGATTGTTTTTGGTTTTGCTTTGTTTGTAAGAAAAGCAGAAGGAAGAAAGGAAACAGTCTCGTATGGGAGCTCCCGTGAAAATAATGGCAGGCTTCCCCACATGTGGTATGCCCAATGCGCTAGCACAAGGCCAGCACAGGGATTACTGAACATTGCCTGTTCTCCAAGGAGGCCTCTGAGCCCTCATCCCTCTCTCCTGCCTTTACTGAGGCGCAGAGGGAAGGTGCGAAGTGTGAGCATCTGTGTTCAGCTTCCTTTCTGCTGAAGGTCAAACCTGCAAAAACTCTTTTCTGGCTCAGACTTTGCAGCTGGCCTGCCCCCATGGCTAGCCCACCAGCTCCCTCACTTGCTTTGACTTTCTCATAGCTGCTCTCCTGATCCAAGATATTGTTTTGCCTTTCAGTACTCTGTCCTTGTGGCAGCACTGGCCTGTTTCACTCCTCACCCTTTTCCATACTTCTTCCATGAGGACTTCAGCAGCTCCTGCTGCTCTTCTCTTTTTGAATGGCAGCTCCTTGATCCCCTTTCCCCTGTAAAAGACCCTCCTAAACTTTTAGTACTTGAAGAATGCAGCAGTGCTTTTGTTCCAGACACTAAAATAAAACAATTAATAGTTCAGGATGTGAAGAGTTTCAACACTGTGAAAGGACTAGGTGAGGCATGGATGTGCGTTTTGATAAGCACTGATTTTGAAGCTTGTCTTCCAGTGGATGAACTGGTCCATCAGTCTTCCTCAAAACTTCCATCTAAGGATAGCAAGTGTTCCTCTCATTTTCTGTATTTCCTGCTTAGTACTATACTAAGTCTTTTGACCGAGCCCTAATATACTGACAAGGATTTATGTCATTGGATAATTGAAATATCCTCATGGATATTGCACTTGATGATTTGTTTTGCCTTCAAATCCTCTGGTCTTGGCAATGCCTTTCACTTTTCCTCTTCCTTTCCTGTTGCAAAATGTACTTTTTGAACCTTTTAACTTTTTGTGCAGAAGGGATGTCTGACTGGATGTTTGTTTTGGTGCTTTATGGCTTTTAGTGCGTGTAGGAAGGCAGGAGTGAGCCTTTCGACCTAGCAGCCTCTCATTATTGCGGTGGGCTAGATCTATCTCCCTCAGATAATTCATTTCAAAATTTGCATCGATTGTTTTTCTTACTTATTCTTCTGTAGCTGACAGGCGGGAAGGAATTGGTGTCTGTGGCTGGATCCTGGTTTCCCTTTCTGTCCTATTGCTTCTCATTACCTTTCCTGTTTCCATCTGGACATGTATCAAGGTAAGCTAGAGGGATTTGGAGCACATAAAGAGTGCTCTATAATCATCATATGTATTGATTTATTTATTTTGTTAAAATGAGGGACTTCACATTTGTTTTGTGGAAATCATAAGATTTTATTGCAAAGTTCTGTGTTTAGGACAAAGAGCTCCAAGTTCTGCCACAGACTTTCTGTATCGCCATAACTTAGTTTTTTAATTTCTTCCCATCTCAGCTTCCGTTATCAGTTAAACTTACCTGCTTTACAACAACACTGGTTGACTAAATCTGACAACTTTCGTATTTATCACTATGCTGCCAGCAATAGTGGTAAATAAACATGGATACTGATGAAAACAGGAGCAAGTCCCTGCCTTCAGGGACTATTCAACTGAAGGCTACAGTTCTTTCAACATACAGGCATAATATGATTAATGTAAAGCAAATTTTTAGAGCGGAGCTTCTTGGGTGATTGTCCTGAGTGCCAGGGCATGAAGAGTCCTGGTACACTAACTAAAGTAGTTGTGTAGATTATCTGATGTGAGAGAGATTTTATTTTGCTTACATCTTCTGTGAGTTTAGTCTAGCTTTGAGGCAAAGCTATGGGTAGCTCCATTAGATCAGAGGCAACTCTTGCATATTTGGTGTGGCTTGTAAGCTATTTGCAGGGCCAGGGACTGATTTTTTTCTCAGCAAAGGGTGATGTGAGGGGAAGACATAAAATGTTTAGACTTGCAGATTTTTTGATTCCTTTATTAATTCTATTTATTTTCACATTTAAAATGTATGTCAAAGATTAAAAAAAATTTGGACTAGAAAGCAGGGATAGAATCAGTTATTAAATTCTAATTTTAAAATATTTTCTTAGGTTATCAAGGAATACGAGCGTGCTATTGTATTTCGGCTGGGATGTATACTGTCTAAGAAAGCAAAGGGACCAGGTGAATGCAAACAATTTTATTCTATTAAGATATACTGGTTTTTGTTCTGTTAAGATGCACTTAATCTATTAAGATGTACTGTAACCACACAGAGAATTGCAAAGGTCCATGAACTCCTTCATAGCATGGGGGGATGAAAAGGTCCTCCCTGCTGTAATTCCTTTACCTATAAGCCTGTGGCTGTGTTATTTGTTCTCCTGGTTAGATGATGATGCCATCCCCTTGTCACTGCACAATGGAGAAGCTGGAAAACCTTGATACCAGGTATGTGTTTGCTCTTGAGTAGATTGGACTAAGGAAGTTTGAGCTCATGCTGCAGACACTGGAATGGGACCTAGGAGATTCAAATGCAGTCTTCGACTCTGCCACAAACTTTCCTGAGTGACCATGGCTGCTCTCTCTGTACCTCAGTTACAACACTACTTGTTCTTGCCAGCTCTTTAGCTGGCTTCTGCACTGAAAATTGTAAATGTTAAGGGCAGGGACATTCCTACACTCTGCATCTCTACAGACCTGCAGCAGTTGCTTAGGATCAGGTTACAAATTATTACAAAACAAAACCAATAACATGAGATATTTGCATCAGTGCAGTAACCACCTCTGCTCAATGAAACTGGGCCAAATGGAAGTTCAAGTGAGAAGGTAAAGCAATACTCGCCACCTTCATGAATCTTCCTTCCTAATGGGCCATGTGGTCCAAAGAAGAGGTAGAGCAGTGCAGAGCTATTCTGCTTAGCTCTGGGCACTTAAGCAAGGTGCCTAGATTAGAAATGCAGTCATATCGAGTCTCCTTCTCCAGTGAATGGAGAGAGTGGGGACTCCTTCACAGGATGATTCAGACCTAGGACAATCCTGACCTAGGAGGTCCTGTAGGAGGTCCTGATGCGAGGGCCTACAGGTGGTGGATGAATCTGGACCTGAGAGATGTCTTTCCTCTGTCTTTCCCTGTGTGGGGGGGACACATTATGCTGTAAACGGCTTACAGTCTAAAGAGGGGAAGCTGAACAAAGGCACTTAAGTAATTTTTACCAAAAGTCGTATGGCAGATTTGAGAACAGAACCACAATCTATACATTCCCAGGCTGGAGCTCTAGACCGTTAAGTTAAACTAAATCTATGTTATTTGCAGATATCTACATTCCCCTCTGTTACTTGAAAATTCAAAATGTCACCCTCCTTTCTGCTGTAGGAGGTAACAACAGCTGTAGAAATAAAGCAGACCATGGCTCACTGGCTATTTTTGTATGTTTGCTCTGTACATACCAGGATACCTGGCTTTTGGATTAGCTTTTGGAAGCAAACGTTTCATCTTATTTATTCTTATTTTTCAGGTTTGATCCTGATACTTCCTTGTACAGATATTTTTATCAAGGTTGATCTTAGAACTGTTACCTGTAAAATTCCTCCACAAGAGGTAATTATTCTTTAGCAGCCATTTAAAACAAATAAAATAGAACTGATTTCTGGCGTGACCAATAATAATGCAGGTGTTTTACATTGTTGCAGCTGTGCACCCATATTGAATTTAGCTTTTGTGCTGTATCTTCTGACTTCAAAACATCACTGCAGGCCAAGCAGTGATGTCAGCCTCCTCATGCTGACATTCAGAACTGTGAGATAAAGAAGGTCAGGGTAGGACCGCAAAAATTCATAATTGTATTATTAGTCCACACATGGAGATGAAGCAATAAACTAGTGTAAGATATTCAGAAATGAATGTCCGAATAAAATTGGATCTGGCAACCACCTTACCGTTCAGAAAAGCCTTCAATGAAGTTGTAATTGCTGCCTGTAGGTATATACACCCTATATGTGTCTTAAAATAAAATTACATATATGTAATAAATTACCTTAAATTAATTCATAGACAAACAACTACAAAACTCACGTCCTAATAAGAATGTAGAGGCTTATCTTTAAGCATTTTGTTGAAAAACATTGACTAAAGAATTTAATCTGAAGAATCAGTTGCTGAGCATGATGCTCCGACCCCAGGATGCGGTGCAATGTTTTCTGCTCAGGGAATTGGCATTGCTGTCCCCTTCCTTATACAAATTGAAGAGCAGAGTGGTAAAGCATTGACTCCAAGAGCCCTTGGATACTGGGCTGTCTGTTGTGTAACACAGGAGAGGTTTCTTGTGCTGTTGTCTTTTCATAATCACAAATAGCCTTTTTCTTAGAGAAGCTGACAATGTGGTTTGCAGAATGAAAAGTGGCACCCTCTTTGGTTAAAGGAAATGGTTAAAGTACTTAGGCACTTAGGCTTAGCAGCCGTTTGCAGGGTTTCTGTGAAGCACCTAATTGGAGGCAAAAGATGCTGGGGTGGAGCATCGTCAGTGCTCCAGTGAGGCCAATTGCCTGCAGGGGTGCAGGAGACTTGCCTCTCCTTGCACTGGCAAAAGATGAGGCAGCTTATGAATACTCATGTATTTTTCAGGGTTTCTTTCTCGCAATTTCATTTCACTTCCCTTTTCACTTGTTCTTCTAATTTACTAATGTTTCTTACAAATACATTGTTTAGAGAAAGTAGCACAGATCTTCTGAACTGCATGCAATTTATAAAAACAGCAATAGCCCTTTTCACAACAAAGAAGTAGGATAGGCATCATTTATTATTGCAAAATAAATTCATGTAGGTTATGAGAGTCACTCACCACTGCAACAGTTATTTAAAGGCTATGTACAGCATTTTGCCCTGCTTTACGCTGTCTGTGATTTGGAATAACTTCCCTGAAGTTATTTCTCAGGGGAATGACAAAGAAACCAAAAGAAATTCTTAGTTTCTTTGAACTACTGAGACCTTTTCCTAACTAAAGGAAACAAATGATTCCCCTTCCGTGGCAAGGGTTATTGGATCCTTTGCTATTTCTGTACCTTTCTCCAATGCAGATTCTCACAAAAGATGCTGTTACTACCCAGGTTGATGGGGTGGTGTACTACAGGATCCACAGCGCTGTCAGTGCCGTTGCTAACGTCACTGATGTCCATTCAGCTACCTTCCTCTTGGCACAGACAACTCTGAGAAACGTTCTGGGTACAAAGAGCTTAGCTCAGCTCTTGGCAGGTCGGGAAGAGATTGCACAAAATATCCAGGTAAATTTAGCTCTTGATCACTGACAGACATGGAGATTTGTCGTTAGAAATGCTCTCTTTTTTTCTTTCATAGTGATAGCAAAAGTCATTTTTATGTCTTTCAATTATATATCTTGTTGCTTAAAGTAAGAAAGAATTGTTGTAAAGATATTTCCCCAGATTCTTGTAGAAGAGTTATTTCCTGTCAAAAAGCAATGGAAATGTTGAACTTAACCAGCAAAATGAATAAAGCACTGTAAGTAGTCTTTGCACAGAGATTGCTGCAAGCTCTGCAACAGTGAGTAATGAGAGAGAATCCTACTGTTTATAGGAAGCTCTACCTTTAGCTAACCCCTGACCGGACTTTAAACTGGCATTAGAGAAGCCATAGGACAGCGCCCTTATAAATTCCCTAGGTACGGGAAAATCTTCAGTTACCCTCTCTGTCTCAGACACAAATGTCACTCAGCAAGAGATTCATAAGGAACTGGGCTGTAGTACCTGCCATACTCATGCCACCACTGATGTTTGTGCTCCAGGAGTGCTCCATCTTTCTGGTGTGTAGATTTGCGCTCCACATTTCCATCTAAAAGGCAGGGTAAATCATACATTTTTCTTTCTGCTGTCACTGTTACTGTTGGTTTGTTTGTTTGTCTCTAAGACTATCCTTGATAGCACCACAGAGCAGTGGGGAATCAAAGTAGCTCGTGTGGAAATCAAAGATGTCAGGATTCCTGTGGCAATGCAGAGGGCAATGGCAGCTGAAGCAGAGGCTGCACGAGAGGCAAGAGCTAAGGTGAGGCCCACTGCAATGTTTCCCCCCCCAGCTGCAACGTCCCGCATCTTTGTCTTGTGCATCCAAGTGCATATTTATTTCCTTCCCATTCTAAAGGTGTCTCTTCTCCTCTGTTGAGCATCACAGTGTCATTTCCCTTTCTCTTACTCTGCAGGTTGTGGCAGCAGAAGGAGAAATGAATGCTTCTAAAGCCCTCAAGCAGGCCTCCGTGGTGCTGACCGAGTCTCCAGCGGGTCTTCAGCTGCGCTACCTGCAAACATTAACTACGCTGGCAGCAGAGAATAATTCCACCATTGTCTTCCCTCTCCCTATAAATATGCTTGAGGCCTTGGCGCAGAAAAATAGAGGAGGATAAGCACTGTTCTACTCAAGTTCCTTGCGCAGAGAGATTTGCTTCCCAGGAAGCAAGAGTTTCCAGGATACCCGAATTAAATGAGATAGCATGCTTTGATCCTCTATATCAAAAAAAAGTAAAAATAGTTCAATTATAGCCACACATAGCTCTCACATTAGGAAACTGCGTTTGAGCACAGAAAGTTGCAAAATTGACACATCAAGCAGTTTCAGCGCACACTTATCTGCAGGTGAAATGGCGGACAGTATGTAAAAGGCATGTTGGACTAACATGAAATTGGCATGATATTTTCACCCCATTTTACAAATTTGTGGATGAAATAATAGACCAGTGATTTATCTCCTATCAAGAACCTATGAGCTCTTGATTAGCTCATAAACCTACTCCACACAGGAGAAGGGTGAGATGTTGCCGTTTAACTCAAGCCCTGTAAAGTGGAAAGAAGGATTTGTCCCCCAACCTTAGAGAGAGTATTCCAGAACTACTAATAGAATTACTAGATAATTTGTATGTGGCTGGAACAGCCAATTCTTCATCTTATATAAGTAATAATTAACAGTTGCTTTACTGGCCTCAGTGGAATTTTGCTTAGGTAAAAATATTACAAGAATCAAGACTTTGATTTGTATGCTCTTTGCCATATCACTGAAATTTCTATCAGCTCTGTCATAAAAGGAGGAGAATATATGTCTGTCTATTACAGCCACATTTCTTATACTTTTGAAAGCTGAGCCAACCTTGAGGGAAATGAGTTGCTGTTATGTTAATTTAAGTATCTATCTTTCCTCCCACAGAAGGTTTCTTATCGTCCCTTGCAGATATCATAAAATGGTGGTACAGCTTCTCATAGCATGAGCCTTCTGCACCCTTCACCTGCGCTATGCCTGGCAGTTGAGTAGGGAATGCTGCTAATATCAGAGTTTAGCTATTGGTGGTATCTGAGTTCACAGCCTTCAAAAATGGCTGGACAGCTCACATTTCAGACACGCTGATGGGTTGCCTGCAAATGAATCTGCAGGCTCTTGTGGTGTTGCTGTTCTAGTAGGCACTGTGCATATCTCATCCACTCATGCCTCACCACTGTCCCTTGCTATCCAGTAGGGTCATCTGAGTCCAAATTAGCCAGATTAACATTGATCTCCCCGTTCTGATATTGCTGACACAGGCCTGTATTGACTGCACACACAAGCAGTCCAGGTGGCAAATTTGTGGACTTGGTGGCCACTGGCAGGAAGACAGTGGTGTGAGCATCTCAGGATGGTAACCTGTTCCACCAACACAGCTTGTCCCTGCAGCTCTTCTCTGCCTCAAGTATGACCATCTGAAACAGGATAGGACTGCAAGTAAAACCTACGTTCACTTGTCATTCTACTTATCAGTGTTTTCAATACATTTTTTTTTAAAGGATACTGCTATCCTAAGAGAAGAAAGATTTTGAGTTTTGTGGTTGTTTTTTGTTATCATCTTAGTATGTGATTTGCGGAAGTCTTTATAACCATGGCAACAAAACTTCCCACCTGCTTCTGTTGACAAATGTTACATCTCCATTACAGTTCTCTGCATACTTACAGAAGCAGCAGTGCTTTTGGGCACACAGATTTGCTTCAAATTTTTAAAGTAATGCAAATTACTTGAATTCTAAAACAAACAATGACCATGGGACCCTGTCTGAAGATCAACAGCTGATGGGGAGAGATGGGATCCACCTTACCAAGCGGGGCACGCGTGTCTTTGCCAACAGATTGGCCAGCCTGGTAAGGAGGGCTTTAAACTAGGCAAGACGGGGGAAGGGGAGTGGTATAGGGACAGGGTAGTCAGTAAAACACCGCTCAAGTCAGGATGCCTCCAGCGGGTGCATGCAGCCAGGGGAGACAGCATGCAACATGGCTGTGGAGGATCCTCTTGCACCTCTCCTGGGAAGCCTGCGTGCTTGACTGGCTCTCTGAAATGCCTGTATACCAATGCGCGCAGCATGGG